GGGGGGGGGGGGGGGGGGGGGGGGGGGGGGACAGTAGGCCGGGAAACCGGGAGTAAGGTGGGCAGGAACTTTACGAAGGCGAGAGAAGAGCAAGTGACAGGAGTGGTATTCGCCAAGGCAGCGGGGCCAAGAGAATTTTGCAATGGCGCAATGGAAAAGGCACCAAGAGGTGACAACCACCAAGGAATAAGCACAAATCAGGAGTAAAATGCTACGGCATGCATAAAGTTCACACCCCCCAGCTCCCGCCGCCCCTTTCCAGCCCGTCCCCACCTATCAATTTTACAATCGTTCCTGTCAAAAACTATATCATGAAACTAAATAGAAAACTCTAAAAGCTAAACTCATTGATTTTTCAATGAAAACACAGCTTCATTTTCTCTTTCCGTTTTCAGATGAATGTTACGACGTTCTGCCACAAGTGCTCTGCGAGCGTCGCAAGCAGAAAGGGTACTGTTCAATTGAAGGATGGAAGGATTATCTTCGGAAAAACTGTGCTGACACATGCGCCTTCTGCGGTAAGCAAAGGGATTAAGTTCGAAATCAACTCAGGAGCGGATGCAGGGGTGGGTGGATTGGTTAGCCAACCACCTCCCTTTTTTTATAAAGCAAAAAACAGGCAAAAAATAAAGGCAAACACTCTAGACAGGTACCTCATTGTAATTACTCCTTTGTACGATTGCTATTTACTGATAGCTGATAAATGGACTTACATTAATCAACTGATAGCTACGAAATCGTCGAAAAGTCACCTATAACTGAGACTTCAGGAAAACTCACATAGACCCTCATTTAGTAAAGGACAAAGATGTAAACTTGGCTCAAGAATTAGTTAGGTGTTGCAGTTTGAATTAAATCATGTACTCGGTCACTTGAACTACTTGCTAATCTTTCTTTTTCTTTTTTATTTTCAGGTGCTCGTGGTCAGGGAATGGTCGCTAGAATGTTCAAGGAATACTACTGAAGTCCTCTACAGTCTGTCGTCTGTTAACACCAGTCAACCTCTGTGTGAACTCAAATTGTAAAGTTACACTTTTGCAACTGTTGTTGGTACTTTAAGCGCACTATTTCTTTGGTCAAAATTGTTGTTTTATTTATTTCTGCTCTGGCCAACGAAGGTGTCCGGTTAGTCAATACAGTTACTGCTCCAAGT